CCTGTCCCGCGGGGTCCGGGACCGACCCCGGGCCGGGCTGGCCCTGGCAGGCCCTGTGCCTCCTTGAGCAGTCACCTCGTTGACCACGGAGCCTGCCAGTGTCTGGGGCGTCCGTCAGCACCCAGTTCGTGAAGCCTATTTCTGGGTGGCGTATCTTAACGGGGGCCCTCGCTTTTGCTCCTCTGCAGTGTTGGGTGGGGACGCTGAGGCCCAGAGGTGGCAGTGCCATGCCCTAGACCAAGCCTCCCTTCCCCAAATTGGCTGTGTGGCCCCAACAGACTGTGTGACGCCAGGGCCAGGGAGGAGGGTGGGCAGGGATGCCCAGTGTCCACCCCGCTGGCCAGCTAGCTGCACACAGCATGGGACACTCAGGAAAGCCCAGGACTGCTCATGTGTCTCCCGCCCCCCCCCCAGGAAGACTTCCAGGGCCCCAGGCCTGGCTCTTGAGACTATTTTCCCCACAGACTGGGGGCTCCTCTAGGACCACAGGACGCTGAGCCCTCAGCTCAGAAGCAAAGACATGGAATAATCCACCCTCTGAACCGCATGCTTCCCCTTGGGAAGTGGGGACTGTCCCCATCTTGCCCTATGGACGCAAAGCCCTGATCTGAGAGATGCCTGGGTCTGAGGGGTGACCCAGCTGGGAGGAGCACACGTCCGCAAGGGACCATCCAGTGCCAGCACCCATTTGGATGATACTTTCTGGTGTGTTTGCTGCGGGACTGGGACAGGGGGTGACTGTGCCTGCTCAGACCACATGGTGGGGGCAGGAGGGAGGTGCCGAGGGGTCACACTGCCTCTACCAGGTGTGCTGTGGGACCGTGGGCAAGAGCCTGTGTTCTTGGGACCCCCTGGACCTCACCCTGAGGAAGGGGAGGAGAGGAGCCTCCTCCAGCACCCGAGCAGAGCTGTCCTGTCTCGGGGCCTGTGTGTAAACCACGCGCATTACCGCGGGCGCACCCCCAGCTACTCCAATGAAGCATTCTTGGATTTCTGCCTATATTTCTGTCTGTTTTTAAAAATAACTAAAATAAAGAGTTGCTTACATTTGAGAACCCCAGAGAAGGGCGGGGCAGGCCCTCCCAAGTCAGTCCCCAGGGAGGATGTGGAGTGCAGAGCAAGGAGGGAGCCCAGGTCTGCCAGCCGCCTCCAGGCCGCGCCCCACACCTGCAGCTACAGATCCCAGGCTGCCCTGGGCCAGGCTTTTCTCCCCAGTGGGGTGTCCTGCTTCTTGGGGGCTCCCCCGGTCATCCAGGGCCCTCTGCAGGCACAGCGGGGGGGCAGCAGCCCCTGACGTTGGTCATGGCTGCAGGGCTGCGGGTTTATGGCAGCCCCTGGCCACAGGCACAGGTGGGATCTGTACCCTCGGGAAGAGGCCAGGGCGTCATCCACCCACCTGTGCGGCCCCTTGCGCCCTGAGTCCTCCCCACCTCTAGCCACACTCCTGGGCCATCACCGACCAGCCTCTAGACCCTGGCACTTCTGAGACCTGCAATCCCCGCTCACTCTGCCCCTCACGCCAGCCCTACCCCAAGTATCCCCGGGGTGCCCACAGCACCCCTATCCCTGCCTCTCAGAGCCAGCCACCCTTCCTCCCCCACCTTGGCCACCCACCCACACACACGGCTGGGACCCTACCACCACGCACACTGCCCACTCCTGCCGTGACCCAGAGCATCGCCTGCAACGCACCCACTGTCACCCTGCCCTTTCCCTCCTGCTGGCCCCACCTCACTCGCAGCACCTCACAGCACCAAGTAACATAAACACGGCTCCCGCCCCACGGAGCCTGCGGTCTCAGGGGAGACCCGATGCAAAGGGGGCAGGCTCGTCAACAAGGCAGGTGCGGGAGGAAAATCCGACAGAGCCGTGAGGTGGGCTCGGGCGGAGCGGGACAGCCCAAGGGGCCCCTGGGCCCAGACCTCCTACCCACGAGGCAACCGGCTTCATGCAGCCCGCCCTTCTGAGCCTCAGTTTACCATTGGCGTCTGGACGGCTTTCAGAGGTACTGGGTGGCTCCGTCCCACCAACACTCGAATGCTGTCCCAACCCTGCCTGAGCCCTGGACACACAGCCAC